AAAAAAAAAAAAAAGCCAACCTTTCTCTCCAGTGGTCTGTCAGAACAAGCCACTGCAAAGGTGGGAGTAATGCAGGTGAAGCTTAGTAGGGGAGAGCTGGCTTTGCTTAATAAAATTCCGCTCTTTCAGAAGTTCTTGCTCAGTTTAATTCTTCTTAGTCTGTGTCCCTTTCTGTAGGGGTTAATTGTAACTACTTAATTTCAAATCGATGTCTTGAATTGTTATGTTAAGTCTAATGCTTGCAGTTTCCTTAATCGGAACTTTCCTTTGGCAGCCGTATAACTTAACATATAAATAATAAATGCACTTTTCCTGTGTTAAAAATAGAGCACGATGCCTACATTGGCTGGATTTGTGCACTTGGATAGGAGCTGGGTTATTAAAAGCAGGAGTATTTACAGCTCTCTTAAAATACCTAGTGCTATATAAACATGGAAGGAGTTGTGATAGACTCATGGGTTTGAGTGTAGTGAATGATGTTCCCTATGAAGGTCTAAATTTTTTCAGTTATTTAGACTTTTTGTATGATTTGTCAAGTTAAGTGAGAAGAACTTTTTTGCACAATGGGAACTCAAAGTGCTTGTTCACAGTGGGAGAAATAGCAAACTGGCTTTATTACTAAGACTGAAAACTGTTGTGCGCAGCCGTATTGCTTGTGGAGTTTGAACTTGCCTCATGTCTCATTAAAGACAGTATTATAATTAAACTTTGTTTAAAGCATAATACTGGGCTCGTTAATGCAACTTTTAAAAATGGAAATGTCTTTAATCTGTAGCAGACCTTAACTTGTAATTACAGCTCTTGAACCAGAATTATGAGCACCTACTTTTAAATGTGCCGAGCTATTCTTGGTGTACCTCTGAGCTATTTTTGTTGCGAGCAACTTAAACCAGAGCACAACCACCTGCCTGTTCGTGGGGTGCATGTGATGGTCTCCCTCCACCGTGGGGCAGTAACGTGGGTCTCTCTCTTCCAGCTTGTGCGCTCACAGTGACGCTGCCAATGAGCCTCTATAACTTCTACAAGTAAGTTTATTTTCTCTCTTCAACTCTCCCTCCCTGCACTAGCACCTTTGCAACAGCCTCCGAAGCCTCTTGGTTTCCTTAGTAGTTTTCAGATGACTGTTTTCAGTGTGGCAAAGTGGCTCTGACATACCAGGAGGTCCCAGTTTGCAGGGTGCACTGGGAGGAGTGGGCTGAGCAGGGTCTTGCAGGAGGGCCCCTAGGTTTTGTGGTCTTGTTCTGTTGGTCACAACTCGGAGCGCCAGACAACCAGGTGCTGCTGTAATTCAGGATTTTTGGAGGTTAACAATGAAGGTGTGCCATCTTCCTGGTCTCACCGTGGTTATGACTGATATCAGCAGTTTTGGGTAGCAGAATGGCCAATGAGATTTTGCAGCCCTCTCCTGAAGGCCAGGACCAGGTATTTCTTAGCTGTGGTTCCAGGTATTTTCATGTCTTTGCTTGCCTTTCAGGGCCTATAAGAATAACACCTTGAAGCACCACTCCGTGTATGAAATCATGCTGCCACTGGTGTCCCCAGTGTTGCTGTTCCTGCTCTGCACCGCATGGATCTTCGTGTCCCCGACAGACATCCTGGAGGTCCATCCCAGGCTCTTCTATTTCATGGTTGGAACAGCCTTTGCTAACATTTCTGTAAGCAATGTTTGCTTTATGTTCCAGTTTATCCCCTGGGGAGTATGAAGCCTGCCAGGACGCTTGGGAGGCAGGAAGAAAAAGACGATCTCAAATGTGAGGAGAGAAGCAAAAATTAACAGCTTTTCTGTTTTGCTGTGATTAAAAGAACAAACAGGAAAGTAGACAGGGTTTGGGGTCTATGAATTTGTGCTGGAGCTCTCACTCTTGGGAAACTACAGAATGAGTTAAACTGAGTGTGTTTGCGCATGCATGCATCCTCTGTGTTGTGAAACTGCTAATGCGAAAGGAGTTCCTGCTGCCTTGTTTGGGATAAACTTAAAATGTGGGGGACTAAAGCTTTTGTCAAAATCAGATTTAGCTGCATATTGCATCTGTGCTTGCTTGAGACCTTTACCAAGGCACCTGTGCTCGTCCCCTCGGACATGTGGCTGAGCAGCTCTGTGTTGTCCATGCCCTGGGTCCAGCAGCTCACGCTGCTGCTTGGCAAGACTTTCTGCTGATTGTGCAGATAACTCTGGTAAGGCTCGGTCAGCTCAGGGGAACTCCTTTTTCTTTTAAAGATGCCCTTGATGCCTGTTTCCCCATGACCTTCCTGCCCCACGAGGCTTTGCTGTGTGTGTCCCATTTTCTAATGCAAAGAAAGATCCCCGAGTGAGAAGCTCGGGGGGGAACTGTGTGATGGTAGTTGTAGAGCGCACACGATTGGTACATGTGTGACCGTCCTCTCTGTGGGCAGCTGTGCGCTTGCAGAGTCGATCCTGGGTGCCAGCTCTGACAGCTTTCTCTTCTGCAGTGCCAACTGATCGTCTGTCAGATGAGCAGCACACGCTGCCAGCCTCTGAACTGGATGCTGCTCCCCATAGCGGTGGTGCTCTTCGTGGTGACGTCCGGCTTCGCGCCGACCAGCGAAACGCTTCTCCTCTACGTATTAACTGCTTTTCTCACCCTGGCGCACATCCACTACGGAGTGGTTGTGGTAGGTGACCGCTCGACGCGTGGTGTTTGGCTGCCTGCACGAGGGCTTTGCTTGGGTGCTGCTGCTGTTTGGGGCAGGGAATACTCCGCTTAAAAACGGCGATGTCAGTGGGAATGGCTGCCTGTGTCATGCTGTCTGTGACAGCATATGTTTCATATGAAGTTTCATATGAAACTTGAGCTGACTTCCTTGCAAGAGGCTTGTGCGGGCTGTTGCGTGGGTTTGAAGCAAGCTTCATGCAATGTGGTGGAGGGGCCGTTGCGCCAGAGATTAGTGTGAAACAAATACTTGCATCTCTGCTGCCGTGTTTAACTCATCCTGGCTGCGGTTGCAGCTTAGTGACCAGCCTGGATGTAAGCCAGCATGGGTGACCCGCATCCTTGGGCAGTGGGAAGGGCAGCTCCAGTAGGTACCCAGAGCAGCAGATACCGTGTTACTGTGTCTGCACACCGGGCAGGAGTGCTTAATTTGGGAGCCTTAGTGTAAAAAGTTAAACTGCTGTTGGTGTAACTTTGGTTGAGGAGTTCGATCTGCGACCTCGCTGACGTGTCCTGCGCTGGAGTCACGAGGAGAGCCAAGAGGGAGGGGGGATGTTCCTGCCAGGGAACGTGGGGACACGGCAGCTGCAGTGCCTTCTGCCCTGCTGCAAGGACTGTGTAGAGATCCAGGGACCAATTTGCTCCCCTTATTCTGTGCCAGCTCTGCCTGACTCTCTTAGTTTTCATTAAGAGAGAAAATAAACTCGGAGGAGGCCGAGTCCTGTTAGAAGTGCCCCAGGAAGCTGCTGAGGAACGAGGGCAAGGAACCCGACGTCCCCTGCGGAGCTGGCTGCTGCCACCAGCGTACGCCCGCCTTGGGAAGCCCTGTCCCCTGGGAACCCCAGCTCTAATGTGGAGCCTCCAGAGTCGAGTCTGAACTGTAATTACAGCAAAGAAGTAATAGCCAGGTTGTCTTGTCTTTCCAATTAGTGTAATGAGGCTTCTATGCAAGAAGGATTTGAATAGCTAAGAAGCTTAAATAAATTTGGTCTTGGAATCACAGCTGGAGATGGGGACTGACTGGGTGCTGTAATCCTGTCTGCCCAGGCTTGCCCATCCCCTGCGGTGAGCTTCTTGGTGCTCTGCTCCCTTCAGTTTGTGTTCCCCTCATTTCCCCCATCCAGCTTTCCAAAGGCCCATCTGTGCAGTCTTCTCTTCCAGTTGAATAGCCTTTTAAGGCTCTGGGACTGGGACATGATCCCAAACTGCTCTGAATTTGGGAGTATTAGGAATAAACCCTCTGCCCTGACTCTGTGCCCGGCTCAGCCTCTGGTGCTGCTCAGCTCTACTTGCTCGTGGTCCTGCAGTGACTGTCACCTTGCGGTCACCAGCTGCCGGTGCCACACCATCCGTTTTATCCTCCTGTCTGCAGTTCTCTGAACCATGCCTGAAAGCTCGTTTTCTGGTGCAGTTCTCAGTCCTCTGTGGTTTTCTCATGTCCTCAAAAGAGGTGGTGAAAGCTTCTTCCAAAGACTGGTCTAAAAGGGGCCCGATTTATGCAAAACCTGGTGCTGGGTTCCCCTCCTCTCTGTAACCTTCCTCTGTGTGTCTTTGTGGTCAATGCAAAGTACCTGACCCCCATTTTGAATTGCAAATGGAGTCAGGGCGCAGGTTTTCACATAGGTATCTGAGATGATCAAATTAATTTAAGCAAGATAATAAAACTGTTGCGGGGAGGCACAGAGGGGGAGCAGTACCGCGGGCTAAATTCCTGCATGCCTGGGCCCAGGGCGGGTGTTTCTGACTCCTGCCTCAGAGGAGGGCAGGAACAGAGGTGAGCCTGCTCCTGGTCAGGCTGGGCTGCTTGGGAAGGCAGGGGAAAGGAGCAAGGCTGCATCTTGCAGGGCCACGGGCCCGGCCAGCCCCAGTGTCGGGCTGGCAGGGACGAGGCTCGGCTCCTGGGCAGGGCAGCCTGGCTGGCCCCGTAGCACAAGACAGAGGCTGTGGTCCGGATCTGCCGTGCCCACGGGGAGCCTGTAGGGTGGGCAATGGTGAGGAAAGTGAGTACAGGAAGGTGGCAGGGGCTTTGTTGGCTGTACAGGGAACCAGTCTGGTGCTCTGCCCGCTTTCCTCCTCGTCCCTCCGAGCCTCGCTAACCTGGTCCCGTTGTCTGCCTTGTCCCCAGGTGAGCCAGCTGAGCAGGCACTTCAATATACGGCCCTTCTCGCTAAAGAAGCCCACGCCAGATTGACTAGGAGTGGAGGAAGAGAAAATCAGCTTGCGGTCTGCAGAAGTACTGTAAATAAATGCTGCAAATACCTGTAAATACTTCAGCCATCACCACAGATCTAAACCTATCCTCTGGACAGACATCAGGGCAAAGTACGCACGGTATCCGGTGCAGCCAGGGCAGGACTGGTACGGGGCAGCCCCCGCTGCTGTTCGACGAATGCAGACTTTTGGTTTGGGGTGAAACTGGACGAGGAGGGTAGCCTTTCAGGTCACTATTACTGTATATTAGACCAGCTGAATGTTCCCAGTGAAACCTCACACTCCAGCTGTTGCTCGGGTAAAGCCAGTTGGAGATGCAAATGGCTTTACCTGAGCAAAGCATCTTGACCTATCACCAAAACCAACATAACAGCTGATTTCTGCAAGGTCAGGGGAACATCCTGGTGGTCGGAGGTGTTCCTGTCTGTCCCTAATCCTGCTAGACAGCCCTCGTCCTGGACTGGTACTTAGGGAGCAGATGGGGACAGCTCTCCCACATCTGTCCTGCCTTCCTGCACTCACCTACTTGGGCAAATACTTGCAACTTTTTTTAAGAGGGGGAAGAACAACAACACACAAAACTTCTAGTAATACTGTGCTTGGGGGGCTTAAAATCGGGGCTCAATTTCCTGTAAAAGTGGGAAGGTGTCTTCTGCCTCCCCTGCTCGAGCTGTGGGTACCTGGGACCACATCTCGACCGTGTTCCTGTCTGTCCATGTGCATTCTCCGCTTGGGAGTGGGGTCTGGGCTCCGATCGGCAGCAGAAAGTGGCTCACACCAGCCCGTCTAACAGAGCCAAACTGCCCCCTCTTCCTACCAGTATGAACGTGCTGTTTCGGGTCGGCTCTGCTGGGTCACTGCAAGCTGCCTGAGCCTCTGCTTTTGTAGCAGCGCAGCCAGGCTCGGTCTGCACGTCACCCTTCCCACCGGACCATCGACAGCAGCAAATCCACTGCTTAGAGAAGCACCTTGATAAGTCTTGTGTTGGTTGGGTGTGCACTTCCAGAAAGCTCACAGGCGTGTGTGGTGGGGTCCTTTCCAAATACCACTGTATTTTCAAAACAATTGTCTCCAGTGGCTGTGTGTCTCCTCCAGGGATATATTTGTTTACTGTCTGTTTGTAAAAGACATGTTTGCATTGATATTTTTTTTTTTTTAAACTTGTTTTTGTAATTGAGTTAGAGTGGAGTGGTGAAGACTGAATGCTGATTTTCTTTTCCGTTCACTTTATTTAATGAAGACCTGTGCTTGAATGAAGAGTGTAGCTTAAACCCAGGCTCTGGAAAGGCTGCATCCGGAGGCGAACAAGCACAGCAGGTTGTGGATATGTAATCTACCATGGGAACAAAGTCGCTTATACACTGATTGTTGTGCAACGTGGTTCATAAAAGCTTGGTCACAGAGTCTTCCTTCTGCAGGGGAAGACTCCTCCTGCTTTAGGAAACCTTCCAACTGTAACTACTATTTAATGCTTTTTCTTTTGTAAATTTGAGTCATTGTCATGCAGACTATGAGAGTTGAAATCCTGAGGCGAGCTCACTGCGCACAGGGCACGAGGTCGGGGTTGCTCGGTCACGGTATGTCCTGCGAGGAGCGAGCTGGTGCGTTCGTCTGGGCTGACGTCGTGGGAGGGCTCGGCTGAATGTCTGTGCTCATGTGTCTGTACGGCTGCGACGTGTCTGGCTAATCTGAGAGAGGGGGCAAATGGTTTTCAGAGTTTATTTAATAAAGTAACTTACTCCTATATATTTTAGTGATGTTGTACAGAAAAAAACCCTAACTGTACAAATGAATTGGGCTGTGCTTGAATTTTTGACTTTTGCTATTTAATGAAATATAATTATGAAGGGAGATAAATTGAAGTCATGCTTGCACAAGAATGATAGGGAATCTTAAAATGGGACACAACACTTATCTATGGGATGTGTTCAGATAGCAGAATTGTGCTAGCAGCACTGAGAAAAAGTGGAGGTTGGGTGATTTACTTTCTATTTGTGTGTTTGCAGGACCAGGGAATAATTTTCAGCTGAGCTCTGGGCTCCCAAGCCTGGCGCTTGCGTTGTCCTGTCTCTTCCCACTAGCATTGCTGGGGCCTGGGGGCTGGGACAGTGCTAATGCTGTGAGAAGTTGTCTGATCTTAAGTCTTAGGATGTCACTTTGTAATACGCTGTTCGTCTGTCATCTCTCCTAGCTGTGAGCTGATGCGCCTTTGCAGCACGTAATATACCCTGAAAAACCCCTTTGTGGAGTTACAAACATAGGGAAGCAGGGCATCCTCTCTGAAATCCTGCAAATACTTGTCGGGCTGCAGGAGAAACATCTCTGAAAAACTGGAACCACTTCCTATCTGCACAGGCTTCATCTTTGGATTTTTGGTGCCTTAATTTGTTGCACCTTGAGGCTAGAAAAATATCTCTTTAAGTCAGTGCTGGAAAACAGGTTCGCCTCTCTCTAGTGCCACCAGGCTTGTGGCAGAGCGAGGAGAGAGCAGACCTGATCTCGGTGTGCGTGTGACTGTTGCCGACTCGTGCTGCGGCAAAGCTGGGGAGGTTTGTTTGGGCTCTTCAAAATTAAGTGATTCCTGCTCCTGGATTCCCGCATCCCTGCTCTGGGAATGAACAGAAGGACCAAACCATCTTGCCACGGTGTGGCGTGGCATGCTGAGAAGCAAACTATTTATTAATAGTAATGGTTTTAAATCTTAAGAATAAATGCATTCCTTCCTCGCTGACAGCATCTGAGGGTAATTGCGTTACGGTGGTGGTTGCTCACCTTGCTGGCTGGACTCTGTCCTTGCTCTGGGCTGCGCTCTGTGGGACGGGGCAGGGTCCTGCGGGACGTGCGCTTGCTCCTGAGCTCCTCCTGTCTGGTGTTTGAGAGCTGATCTGTGTTGTCTCTTCTTCCAGGGATAGTGTCAATCATATTTTCTTAATTACTGATGGACCTGCTGTGTTGATAATAGAACTGTCTTATGCTTACCTAAATCAGTTTTGCACATTTTTATCTCAATACAGTGTATTACCAGGGAAAAACTTGTTCAGGGAAGGGTGCAGTCCTTCAAGACCCCCTGGGATGATGTTCTCCTGGCTTTGGGCTCCAGGCAGGTGCTTGTGCTGCAGGAAGAGGTGGCCAGTGCTGCTGCTCCTGGTCCTCGCTGCTCTGTGACTGGTCAGTCTTCACTCTAAAGCAGGTTTTTGTGGGAGCTTGGGACATGCCAGCCTGTCAGCACAGGACTTGCCTAGCCGAGGCAGAGGCAGCCGCGCCTGCAGCCTTTTTCATTTCAGTCTTGTGGCTTATATCACAGCTCCTGCCTCTGCGCTGATCCAGTGGCCCAGCACAGGAATTCACATGCAGAGCTGGGGCTGAGGGTGAAGTGCAGGTTTTGGGACCTCCTGGGGTTTGAGCAAAAGTGGCCATCGCACTAAAAGTGACGTTTTCTGCGTACAAACGCTGCGGCTGACCTGTGGGGGTACAAACGCTATGAAAACCAAGCCCCTGCGCGCCGTGGTTTTCACTTGTTCCTTCCCTTGGCATGTCTCTGCCGCAGTTAACGCCTCTCTCCCGCGGTCGGTCGGGGCGAGGGCTCGGCAGCAGTCTCTCCTCTCGTAAACATCAGCCACCTGATGCAGGTGGCTTTGCCAGAGGCAGAGGAGCAGCATGTTGTAAGCTTCTAAGGCTCTGGAAACATATATTTAAGCTCCTTAAATAGAGCTGGCCTGATGTTACCTCCCAGGTGCATTGAGTACCTGCAGTTTGTAGTCTGAGCGCTGTTTTGATCTCGGGTCAGTTCTAGCAAGGCTCCTAAAGTCCTCTCCTCTGAGAGCATCTGCGCCTGCTTGTGATAGACCTGGAACGTCTCTAGAGAAGCAGTGTTTTTTGGAAACTAGCTCGGATCTTTTTTTTTTTCTTCCTTCTCATACACAGCACCAAGGGAAGAGCAGATTTGTGTGCAAACACGAGCTGTAGCTGAGCTCTGGTCACCTCAATTTATGGCAGAACTCTGCATGGCGTTTCTATATCCTTCCGAAACCTGCAGGAACATCCCTGAAGCAGTCTCGTTTCCAGTTGTCCCTTTTTGCTTAGCGTCCATCACTCGCTTCAGAAGTGGGAGTCCTTCAGCTCACCGGCATCCCCTTACACCCCCGTCCCAAAACCTTTCAGCGCAGTGTGTCGGCTTCGCTTCGGTGCTGGTGGAGCTGGGGCAGCTAAAAGCTCATTTACTCCTCGCTTTTCTAGTGCAGATCTGCATCCCTGGTGCGGGGTTGCAAGCTTGACTCATCCTGCTTTTGCTCATTTAATTCTACCTCGTTGTGCTCTGTCGAAGCAGCGGCCGAGGTGACGTGCTCTTGGTGGGACATGGTGACGACGGGTGCTACGCTGATCTCTGCTTCTGGAAAAGGTCTCAGTTTAGTTTGTAGAAGACCCTTTGGCTCATCCAGGTGTTGTCAGACCTGGCTTGAGAGGTCTCTAGGCTGGTCTCCAAGGAAGTGGTCAGGGCATTGCTGCCCCTGGAGTGGAGGTTCCCCGTGAAATCTGCTGCTTGCCCTCCAAGGTGCCCTTCATCTCAGCCAGCCCAGCGGCGTCCTGGGGGCGTTTGGTAGGAGCTGGTGCTATGCTTTAGGTTGGAGACTTCATTAATCGCCATCTGCCCCCCCTTCCCTCCCGCCAGGGACACTGACCTGCTTCTGTCCCTCGAGCTTCCAGCTGACGTGGACGCTGATCTCGGTTGTCCATGGTGTGCTGGCGCCAGCCCGTCTGGAAGAGGAAGGTGAAGAGGAGGGTGGTGGGTGCCAGGCTGGTTTTGGCTCTGGTCTTTGCGTGAGTGCTGAATTGCTCTCCTCTCCAGCTGTAATCCTGCACCTAAGCCCAAGCAAGGCAGCAGCGTCAAACCCAGCCCGCAGAGGTGGGCTGAACTGGGTCATTTCAGACTTGACCTTTACATCTGAGTGGTTTTACAAACAGTCCCTGCTCTCTGGGCTCCTACCACTGGCCCCTGCTACTACTGCAGCACAGGGAGCTTCTCTGCAGCCCTTCAGAGCATCTTTGAAGGCCTGTGTCCACGTGGCTGTTCTGTTTTCCTGGGCAGGGTGGGGAAGGGGTTGGGGATGCTGCCTTGTCCTTCTAGAAACGAGTTTGGAGGCACCAACTGGACCTGCAGCCGGGGCTTCTGCCACCGACCCCCTGCGCAGCAGGGCTGGAGAGCCAGCGCTGCTGTCCTGCTTCCCGGGGCCGTGGGGGCTGTGAAATGATGCAGGGAAAGATGCGCTTGGTGCTGGTGTGGGGGTTTGGTTCTGCCCCTTCCCCACTGAGCCTTTCTGAGGAGCTGCTGTCAGCAGGCGCCTGGCTCCCCGGGGGCTCTGGGTGCACAGGGCTGCCCCAAACGGAGATGAAGCAGCCTGGCCGTGAGCGGCGGTCCCAGCACTGCTGCGGGCTCACGGACCCCCATCGCTTCCCC